AAAGAGAAACTACTTACCATTTTAACCACTAAGTGAAAAAGGTATTTTTTATTTCCTTGGTTGAATAGAAAATGTCTTCCTAATAAAACCCATGCTGTTCTGAAAAGTGTTTTCTCCAAAAGGATGATAATGTTTCATTTCCCTAGAGTATTACTAATTATAACAAGGAGCTACACAAAGAAATATTCGTGAAAATATTCAGGTAAGGAAATGCTTAAATGTTCCAGAAAAATGTTTATCAGGAAATATTAGTCTAGAATCAAAACATTTCCTGTTTCCTGATCATACCATGGAAAGAATTCTGTGATGCTAGTAATGAGGTCTTATATAGAAAGAATTTTTATGATAGGACTATGTATTTAGAAAAAATGCATTATAAGTAACATGAACCAAATAGAAATCTCCCCAAATCATCCTTTTATAAAAGTTTGTTAACATAAAAATGTAAACTTTCAAAAAACACAGAAATGTAGCAATTAGTCATCATCTCTCTGCTCAGAGATGATCATTATTACTATTTAAGAGAATATATTCCCAATCAAGCCTCATCAGTACAAACATACACACTTGGGTTCAGTTGTACATATATAGTTTTAATGATTTGTGTTATATCAGCATTATATCCTGGATGTTTTTCTCTGTCAGTAACTCTAGGTCTGTAATATTAATGCTTATAGTTATGCATATGTGTCACATGAACCCATTGGGATGTACCAAGGTTCACTAGTAGTTCTCCAAAGAAATCCTCATACCACAACAGGAAGAAAGTAGGAGGGGGAAGCTGGGTAGAAGATGCAGGTGTCCTCTCAGAAGTCGGCCAGAGGAAGTCTGCTAAATTTCCTTGCACCACATGTTTATGGCCACATGTTTATCACACAGCTGCTCCATACACAGGTAAACAAGGATGCATTGGTGTGATTAGCTCAGGCCAGGGTTTTTTCTCTGTGATCCACTCTGTTACTAATTAAACAAAAATCAGGGTTCGATGATCAAAAAAAAGGTGATCAAATATATGAAGTTTTAAGTTCAGGAATTTACAATCATTTTCCAACCATTGAACCAACAAGCTGGATTGGGGACAGTTGGAGATGGCTAGTGTATCAACTCATTATTTTGAAAACTGGCAAATTAAGAGAATGAATCAAATGTTTATCTTGCTTTTCCTTCATCAACTGGAAAAATCAAATTATTGAGGAAAGAAGTTTCCCTTTATACAAGTATTCTGCTAATAAGTAAAAAATAAATCACAAAGTTAGGATGCCACTATTTCCAACAACTACTGAATAAATGTATCTAAGCATTGAGTATTAACAATTGCCAACATCATATGCTTCTGATTGAAGAACAAAATACACCTACATCATCTTGGAAAAAAAAAAATTAAAAACCTAAATCTAATCAAGACCCTAGACCCAATGACTAACTTAAGAGCTTTGCAGAGTATATTCAGGGAAATCAGATATTGGAAAACCAGAGGATATATAATGTGGTTTCTTCAATTTATCAGTATCAGGGAAACAAAAGAGATGAAATGCAGTATCTTACTGGCTAAAAAGGACTTAGAAGACAGCTCCCATGGATAGACTTAATTTGAGTTTCAAGTCACCCAAATTGTTTTTTAAAATTATGGCACTTAGGGACAGCCAGATAGCTCAGCGGACTAAGCTCAGCGACCAGGGTTCAATTCCCCGTGTGCCATGCTAGCCCCGCCCCCAGGGACAGCGACTGAGACTGGGTGTGTGCATGCCTGTAATCCCAGTGCTTGGGAGGCTGAAAACAGGAGGATCACTATGAGTCCGATCTGTGTAGTGAGACCCAGCAGATCCTGTACTAAGTACATAAAAAAATGAAAATCTTTAAAATCACTTATTGTAATGCTTACATATAAAAAAGATATTTCTAAAGAATATGGTGGTGAGAAGGAAAGTGTTAATAAACAAGGTTGGTCATGAGTTTCTAATTGTTGAAGCTAACTGATGGGTACATGAGGGCTGTTAATTATTCTATTTTAAAATGTGTTTGTAATTTGCTCTAATTGAAAAAAGAGGAAAAGAGAAGGTGGTGGGTTTTAGATGGGGAACTAACAGTATTTGTCATATATTAGTTTACCCAATTGGCTTGCTATAGAGTTACTTTTTATGTGCTATGTTGAAACTTAATACCCAATGTGATAATATTAAGAGGTGAGGATTGAATCACGAGGGTCCCACCTTCATGAAGAAATTAGTACTCTAGGAAGGAGGCTTAAGGAAGTACCCTTGTTCTTTTTGCCATGTAGGGACACAGTATTCATTTTTTTAAAAAAAATTAATTTTATTGAGAAACAAATAGCAATGAGACAGTTTCAAAACAGATTAGTAGGACAGTTTCAATAATTAATACACTGCACATTGTTGCTTTTTGTTTGTTTTGGCAGAACTGGGGATTGAACTCAGACCCTTGTACTTGCTAGGGAAGTGCTTATTCCACTGAGCCCTACACTGCATATTGTTGCCTTCATAGTGGTTATTCATAGTACAAGATGCATACATGATATACTGTCCAAATACTATTAGCACAAATCTTTCTTCTCATTGAATTAAGAGAAAGTGCTGTATATCTATCCTATTTTGTACATACAGATACAAAATGGTCTTTCTTTTGTATCCCCTTTTTTTTGCTTAGTTTTGTCAGGGATGGGACTAAGGCACCATATTTCCCAATTATAAATAATGCTATGGTCATCATTTTTCTACATTTTTTCATACTAGTAAACTACTCAAAGTGAGATTCAGTCACAGGGAAAATGTAATAATAAAGTCAATTTATCTTCCTCTACCAAACTATGGTTTCAGTTACATTTTAAAATATTTAAGTTAAAGTCATTGAGTCTTTAATGGCACATTAGATCTGTAGGTAAGTTTTAGAATGGACTTTATACTGTTTTCTTTGTTCTATTTGCAGTACTAGGTGTGGAATCCAGAGCTTTGCTAGGCAAGGACTCTATCCCTCTATCACTCTACACCTCCAGCCCCAAGTCCTATTTCTCCCAACCCTAGTACTAGGAATAAAACACTGGGACACTCTACCACTGAGCTACATGCCCGGCCCTTTTGCTATTAGTTAATTATCTTGATGCAGGATTTTACTAACTTAGTACCTAGGGAACTTAAACTTATGATTCTTTTGCCTTAACTTTCTTCAGTACTAGGATGATAGGCCTGTGCTAGCATCCTCAGTTGAGACTTCATGCTTTAAAATGGCATGATCTCTTCATTCCCCTTTTGCCTCTTGTTAGTTTTATATTTTCATCGCGTTGATTTCTATATATTGATTTTATAAATATTTTTATCACTAAATTCTGCTATTTCTAAAGTATTTCAATTTAATTTCTTAGGTTCTCAAGGTATATGTAGGTCATACAAAACATGAGAGCAAGTAAGGTAGTTTGACGAGAGCCAAGAAAACCCAAATCCTTCGCTTGACCTGCTGACTGAGGTTCCAAGTAGAAGTATATACACTGGAAAACAAATGGTCCCTCTTATTCACTATGAATTTGGTCTACACTGTAATGTTGAGCTGGTGCAAATTACAATACGCTGTTATATGACGTGTACCTTCAATTTAAAATTGAAGCAAAACATGAAATTTTTCTTATTTTACTCTAGACACCCATTTTCTATACCGGCTCTTATCCCTGAAATGGTGGGACAGGCCAATCCAGTACTGATCACTGACCAAGAGAAGCATGTGCAAAAGTAGAATATTTCTCATGCTGAAGGAAGTTGATTTATGCGTTCAAAGACTGTCTTACCTACTCTGATGCAATAGCTTCTTAGCCTGATGTCCCTGGCTGCAGGCTCACCTTTCTCCCTCCTGGCTCAGCAGCAGGTCTGTTCACCATAAGGGCATGACGTCATCTTCCTGCTTAAAATTATTTGTGGGGTACTGTAATACATCTTCTTGGCACCTTGCCAATGCCTTTTAATATTTGGTCCATTTACCCTCCTAATTCAGTTGGAAAGAGACCACATGGTCAAGTGGAAAGAGCTTCACAGTAGAACCAGAGATGAGTCTGAATCCTAGTTACCTATGCCACTGTCTCATCTGTCAAATGGGACCAGAATCACTTAAGTTTCTGGTAATGATTGAAATGTGTCAGAAACAGCTCAGACCAAGAAAACACTAAAGAAATCACTACTTTAAAATTTTCTTAATGTGTTGATTCATCAAAAATTATGATGTGTAACATATTTGGATATAAGTGTAGATTCTGAAACAGCTAAACCAAGTTAGTATGTATTATGTGTTTATTTTGATAAGAACACTTAAAATCTCCTAGCACTTTTCAATATATATTATAATTAACCTAGTACCATACTGTACAATAGATCTCCCTAACGTATTCCTACTTAAAATTTTGTATCCCTTGATCACAATCCCCCCCTTCCAGTCTTAGCCCTGGTTAACCACCACTCTATTCTTTGCTTCTATAAGTTTGACTTTTTAGATCCCACAGAGGAGGTAACATGGTATTTGACCTGTTGTGCCCACTTATTTTTGTTAATAGGTCTTCAGATTCACCTGTGTTGCCACAAATGCAAATGATGGGGACTGCCTTCTTTTAAAAGACTAACCGATGGTTTACAAAGCTGCCAAGAACACAAGGTCAGTCTCTTCCATAAATAGAATTAGTGTAACTGGATAGCCCGTGTGTACAATGAAATCAGTCCTTTATTTCACTTTTTAAAAAATTAAAAGACCTAACACTGTAAATTGCAAATTGCCCCAAACCGGGGCTACAACCCTGGAGAAGGTGGGACTGTCCAGCAGCCAGTTCCCAGGAAAAACGACGAGGTGGGCTCTGGGGGAGACCAACGAGCCCGGGGTCTCCGCCGAGGGGCGGGGGCGGGGGCAGGGGGAGGGGCGAGGCGCAGTCCCGGCCCCCTCCCCTCTCCCGCGCAGCCCTTCCTTCCCCTCCCGACCCGACCCGCAGGAACCGGAGCGCGCCAGGCCGAGGTCCGGCCGCTGAGGGGGAGGCGCCAACCCGCGGCCGTCCGGGGCCCGCGACCGAGCAGTAACCGCGACCCAAGAGGCGGAGCGCACGCAGCGCGGCCCTGCGCTGAGGTAAGGGGGTGGAGTACAGGGCAAGACAAGGGGAGGCGCCGGCGCCGAAGCGGGCCGATCTCCTGGGTACCCCCGTGAGGGGCCACCTCACGCTGACTAGGCTGCCCGCCGCCACCTAGGCAGCGGAGGGGCAATAAGGGCAAAAGCTACGTCCGGGCCGAGGACCGAGGCGTCGCCGCGCATGCGCAGCGCCGCCGTCTGGTGCCGCACCCGGGCCCTGGCAGCGCGGGGAAGCTGCACTGCGCCTGCGCAGGGCCGCGGGCGCCGCCGAGGTGGGCCGGCTGCCTTTCTTAGGCCCTTCTGACGAAGCTGCGCTGCCGGGAGTGAATCCGAGGGTGTGGGGTTGAGTCTGGCGTTGTCCCTCGGCAGTGCCGCCTACAAGCTGCTCAGCCCCTGCGTTTCCCAGTGTAGGGCGCCTTACAGGCGAACTGACCCGGCGGAGGCGTTTGCCTGGGACTTCACCTTCCCTTAGTGTAGGATGCCAGTGTTTCACTTCTGTCGCCTCCACCCGGGGCTCCCGGACCCCGCATCTGTTCCCCTCGCTCCTGGGTCCCGACCCATCGCCCTAGCTCAGACACTGTCGGATTGAGACGGTCGGTTCTGATGGGGAGCGGACTGGGCAGAACAGGCAGAGCTGGCTGGGAAGAGCTCGGCACCGGGGTGGGGGACACGGCCCTGGTCCTCGGCGGGAAGCTCGTGCCCCGCTCAGCCCCGGAAGTAGTTCTCAGATGGAGAAAACTTTCCAAGTGCTCTGCTTAGGTGGAGGAAGAACTTTGCTGCCTGAGTTGGAAGGCAAGTTCAGAATGGACCTTTGGCTTTTGTTCTTTGCCGAATTACATAAAATGCCGCCAGAGTTCGAGCCCGAGACTAACACAGAGCGTGTAATAGTTAGTGGCTTGGATTCCCCTGGCGACTTAATCTTTGCCAGGGCTGAATAAAAATGTTTTAATTCACAAACCGTGCTTTGAAACATTGCTTTGTCACCTAGGCTTGAAAGTAATAGTCACTATTTAATATTTACTGGGCCTGCTAGCTTGGCACCTCCATATATTGATATTCTGCTTCGATTTACACTTTATTGAGCTTAGTTAAGTCAGTTTCATAATGACTGGGGCTCCTGTAAAGAGAATCTAACGTTACTGTGTGCTTTCATAAGATAATGGTAAGACAATTAGGGACTGGACTAGAAGAGCCACTTAGGCTCTGCGAATTTGAGCACTCTAGGTGAAATGCAATCCCTTTCCTACCCACTTGACAGTGCATACGTGTTATTTAGTTACAATATTCGTGCAACTCCCTCCCCTTTATTGCTGTCTTGGGTCAGCGACTAGACCTTCACCCAGGGCTTGTGCATTTGCTCTTTCCTCCGTGCTCAGCCGTCGCTTTCCTACTCTGTCCAAATGTGCATGGAATCAGATTTTAAATCTTGAAACAATTAGGATTATCTAAAGGAGGCATGTCTCTTGTTCTCCAAGCTCTTATTCTGTAGCACGTAATCAATCACTATCTGAAACTATATAGACAGTAATTTGTTAACCATTGAAAATATTTGTTAACCCTGTCAGTAAAATTGGAATCTGACCAGATTTTTGTACTGAACGTGGATTCATTCAACAATTTTTTTTTTCAAGTGCTGTTTCAGGTGCTTGCGATTTTTCAGTAAACAGAAGATCCCTTTCCTGAGAGCTTATGTTACAGTGAAAAAGTGATAACCAACATTGGGGCTGGGGAGATAGCTCAGTAGAATAAGCGTTTGTCGGGCAAGCTTAAGGGCCTGAGTTCAATCCCCGGTTTCAAAAAAAAATAATAATAATAATAATTGTTATGTCATAAAATCATAAATGCTATGAAAAGGCAGTGAAAGGAAATTGGGAATGTAGATGTGGGCTGCTTCCTAAACAGCATGGGGATAGCAACTCTAAAAAGGATAAATCTAAGGTAACGTTCTAGTTGGAGAACTGGGGCTCAGAATTAAATATCATTCTGGGAGATAATATTTGTTGCCATGTGCTAGCTAGCTAGAAGCCCACATTGTGACCACTGTGACAGAGGTCATTTTTTATAAGAAATCATTTCTACCAAATAAGATTCAATTATTCAGGAGTTTACGGCTTAAAACATCACATCCATTGAAGAGACTGGCCTCCCCATGTGATAGATACTAACCACAACCATTACAGACGTATTGAGAAAACTATACAGTTGGTTCTCCATAACCTCTTGTTCTTTGTCCTGGAACGCAATAAGCCTCCAGTTTAAAACATTTTTTTTTAAATGAGCTTGTCCTAAACATGTAGATTTTTTTATTGTCATACCTCAACAATAGAGCATTTCAACCATATACATAATATTTACTCTGTACTAGGTGTTTTAAGTTATCTAGTGTTAAGTTATACAAAGAGGATAGATATATGTACTGGCTGCGCTAGTTCATGCAAGAAACTTGAGCACTGACAGGTTTTGGTATTCATGGGGCAAAGGGTCCTGCAACCAGCGCCTCATGGATGGCTGTTGTTTCTTTACAGCTTACTGGACTTTGTGATTGCCTCTATTTATTTATTTATTTATTTACTTACTGCTCTATGGTGCTGGAGTTGTGATTGCATCTTGATGTTCCTTTAAACCATGAGTGTGACTAGTGAAGTTCCTTTATAAAAGTAATCATTGCTTTTTAAAATTTGAAATTATGAAGAAGGGAAGCTTAAATCACCTGATATGATACCATAGTGTTACATTAAATGATATCTCTTACAGATTTCTAAATGAACCAGACAAAGGTATCAAGCCTTTACAATTAAAAAAAAAAAGCTATATTTAAAAGAGAGGAAAATGGAAATAAATTTAGCAAGTAAGATGTGGTTCCTTTGAGGTCTTTCATTAAAATAAAATAGATTACAAATACTTTGTATTCATACACCAATACTCTAGAAATATAAATGTAGGAATTTGCTTACACTATTAGGAAAGAGTCATTCAATTTCAGGTTTTATAGCTATTTGACATTAAAATATGTCTATGTCTAAACTTTATCTGAATTATCTCAGGTCAGAAATGTCCAGGAAAGGGAGACCAGAAGCAGAGTTATTGGGGTTGTGGAGTGACATCAAGGACTCCTCTTTAAAGTTGAAAGTAAAGGTACCTGTGGGAATACCTACTTTAAGTTGGCAATAGCTCATCTCCAAGGACTATTCATCATACCGTCAATGGCAAGACAATATAATCTTAGCTTTTATTATCTGGAAGAAATGTGTATCTCCTTCACATCATCCTCCTTTTCTAATGGCATGAAGATCTCCAAGAAATCTAAGCTTTAATAGTTTTTTTCTACAATAATATGACATTGAAATGTCTTTTATGTCTTCAACCTTGCTCATCTAACTTGAGTTCATATCTATTATGTGTATCTCCCTGTGGAAGATACCACGAGCTAACAAGTAGGAGTAGGTGATAGTCTCTGAGTAAATCATACATTGAGACTATTGTCTTAGTCATTTTTTTGTCAGTAGGACAAAATATGAAATGTCCACAATGTAAGGAGAAATTTGTTTTGGCTCACAGTTACGGATACCGTGAGCTTGCTAGAAGGCAGGAAGGCAGTGGTAGAAGAGTCTGACAGAAGAAGGCTGCTCATCTTCTAGTGACCAGGAAGCAGAAGAGAGAAGGTAGGAGCCAGAGATATCAAGCCTTCCATATTGCACCTCCAGTCACCCACCACTTCTAGCTAGCCCTTGCCTCCTACCAGCAAGTTCAGTTATGGATTCATCAATGGATTACTAGGTATAGCATGCTGTGATCCAATCACCTTTCAAAAGGCCTGCCTTTAAGTGCATGAGAATTTTGGTGGACATTCTGGATGTAAATCATACCAATTAGACTGTCATATTTTCTCTGTTATGGCAGGTGGTTATGATAATGAGTAAAAGGAACCCAAATGGAAATGAGCCAAAGTCAGGAGGGCTATTCCTGTTGAATGATTTATGTTGTGGTACCAAATTTTTTAACAATTAGGGTTTTACTTAATAGATATGTTAAGCTCTGTTTAAAATTTTGATTAACTCTATGAGAAGTTTCAAATTGATTTACACATAACTTGCAAGTACAGACTCATTCATATAACTTAAAATATTTTGTAGTCTATTATTTTTCATATTTGAAAGTGACAAGCCAGTGGGTTGGTGTATGTCTATAATCCCAGCACTTGGGAGGCTGAGGCAAGGAGGAACACAATGAGTTTGAGGCCAGCCTGCACTCTGTGGTCAGTTCAAGGCCAACTTTAAATAGTGAGAGCCTATCAACCTCTTCTCAAAACAGACAAATAAACAGAAAAAGAAAATGACACCTAAAAATGGCCAATATTAATAACTCAGTAGACTCTTGAAACTAAACATAGCTTTGTTTTAGACCATCTGCTTTTGCACTCTAAAATTTGAAAACCTTTTGCAATTAAAATAGCAACTGAATTTCTGTGTTCTACAAGTCAGTTTGCTGTTTTCCATAAACATATGCTGATACTGTTTGTTTTAAGGTTGTGCTCTACTTTTCATTACTTTTAGTTTTCTCATTCAGATGTAATTGTTTCATTTCCATTAATGTCTGTGTATAGATACCTATTGTTATTTAAGAGGAGCTAAACAAAAGCTAATGTTGTCCATTTTTGCAAGTGAAAAGTACGATTATATATTATTTTATATTTAAATGTATTAATATTGTCTGTAACTTAAGGATGACACAAAAAAAGCAGTTAATTGTAATAACTCACCAAAGCACATACTTGGGAACATTCATGCTATAAATCATATGAAGATATCCTAAAGACATTAATTTTGTTTCATTCTGTTTCCCAAGTAGAAGAATTATTAAATAACATTAAGGTGTTTCTTCCCCAGTATTGAGGAATGAACCCAGCCTTATGCATGCCAAGCAGGTGCCCAACCACTGAGCTGCACTGCCAGCCCAATGTTTGGGAAAATAAATTTTCTTAATTGAGGCTTCAAGAGGTGTTCTCATATTATCACATTCAATTTCAAAATAATTAACTGGTATTTCTGTGCAGAAATTTCTTCTTTTGTCCTCTTTCTTATGGGAGCATGTCTTAAAAACTGACCTGTCAGCACTTAGAAACTCTTGATAAACTGTGTAATATTAGCTCTAATTGCCCAATATTGGGTTGCAGGAATGTGGACACAAGCACTTAGGAGCTCATAATCTTTTGTTCCACATCGCTGTATTTTCTGTTTTACATATTTGCTTTCCACTTACTGCCTACTACAGGCAATAAATCAATATTTATTGAATGAATTAGGCAAATGAATGTATGTCCTGTAATCAGTGTAACTTATTATCTAGGTCAGAGGCATTATCGAGTAATATGGCACGTTGTGCAACAGGCACACTGAGTAATACTGACTACTTTAACAAGCAGTATGTTCAGACTGCCATTTATATGCTTGGACAGGGAAAATAATTCTTTAACCTATTTTTTATGAGATTAAAAATGGATATACTTGCCACATCGTTAAAAGATAAACCAGTAGTAGCTACTTTTGCTTGGAGGTCTTTATCCTCCCACTTTCTGTCTGTATTGCAATACAGTAAGATTCTGTGATAACATTTTATTACATTTAAACAAAATTCAAAATATGTAAGTTGTTTTTGCAGAGTACAAAGAAATTTTTTAATAAGCAACTTTTAATATTATGAGCCAAGTCATACATCCCAAAACCAACAGGTGAGGGGGGGTCAGTGAAGTAATATATATAGTAGGCTAATATGACCTTACTATCACTCCACAGTGAAGTTCTATAAGTGATCTTACTCTGTGACACCAATATTATAAAAATCGTGCCACTACAAATGCCAGCCTCTGCCCTGAGTCTATAAGAAATGTTGCTTTCCTGTTTGTAAGAGGGAAGTTTATAAGTAGAGTTAGACCACAAACAAGAAACACATTTTTGTCTTTCCAATATACTAACATTAAAGGTTTTTTTTTTTTTTTTTTTTGTCTCTTTTGGATTTTTCTTCCATGACATTTAGAATACTACTCATTATGTTATTGATCACATTTTATTTTAGAGATGGAAAAGAAATTAGGGTTTATAAATTATTATCAGTTTTTATTAAATTCTTATGTCTACAATAAAGAAAATTAGAATGGTGATATTCTGATTCAAATTTTTTTTAAATATTGGATAACCCTATCTCCCCATATGTAGAGAATTAATTTGTGCTTAAAATCTTGAAAACTGCCTTAGCAATAGAAAAACTGTGACATACAGATTGATTGGTAGACTTATGTGGGACCTTTTATCTTTGTCATTGCCTCAATCAAAACCTTCCTATGAAAAAATTCCTATCAAAATTATGTCATAGGAGATGGGGAGATGGCTCAGTAGAATGAGCGCTTCCCTGGCAAGCACAAGGGCCTGAGTTCAATCCTCAGTTCTGCAAAAAAAAAAAAAAAAAAGTGTATGTATGTGACAAGTTTTGTAGATCTCATGGATAAGATGCTTTGTCATGAGTGCCTTTCCATGATAAATCAGCAACGAATTTGAATATTTTCAGTATGTTTATTTCTTCTATAAATAGCCTGTATCATTTGCCTATTAATTATATTGTTATTAATTTGTAGGCATCCTTTATAGATTTTAGATACTAATCCTTTGCCATCTTTTGGTTATGTATGTTGCAAATATCTATTTCCATTCTGGGGCATATTTTTCCCTTTCCTTAGGTTTGTGAGCCTTTTCTTTGTGGTTTATGCTTTCATGTTTTATTTGAGTGATCTTTTTCCTGCTCTAAGATCATAAAGAAATTTCCGATACTGAATACTGCAGACCAGACTTTCTTAAGTGTGTGTTTCTACAGGTTTCAAGGTCCAAATTGTTGAAACTCTGTCTTGAGACTTAACCATATACCAAAATTATACTTTATCAATTTATTATTTTTATAATTAAGTACTTCTGATTGAGCACTGCTGATTTTTCCCTAATAGAATTAATAGTCTTACAAACATGTTATCAGATAAATAATGGATTATTAAATCTGAAAGATAGTATATGCTTTGTCTTTGTGTGATAGAATTTATTTTTGTATTTTTTATGCTCATTCTTACTCACTTTGTTGTAGAAGACAGCTTTACAAGAACCTACTGGGAACAGGATTACAGATGATGAAATACTGAGCTCCAGAAATACAAAACAATCAGGTACAAATATTTTTGGAGGGAACATTCCTAGCCAATCAAAATAATTTTATTTGGAATGTACACAGGGAACACTTAAAATATTCGTGCAATACAGCGGAAGTTCTAATAACTTTGCTTTGGAATCAGTCTTGGGTCTTATGGTAGCTTTGATCCTGACTGGCTGGTGACTGTTGGTTGTGTTATTGAAATATGTTCATAAAATGAAGGTAATAATTGTATCTCTTCTGATGTTCATTCAAGTATTTTCAGATTAAATTAGATACTACCAGGTGCTTAATGCTGGCAGAAATTAACTGTTTAACTTTTGCTATTGTTGCTGTTATTATTTAAAATATATTTTAATCACATCGTGGATGTCTTTTTCTGTGTGTCTATTGTGGACTTTTTAAAAAAAGTATGGGTCAGTGTACTACTACAATTGATAATACTAGCTTGATGAAATCGTGTGGACAACAAGGTGAGGCAACTATAGTCTCGATATGTTCCAATAACAATGTCTCTGTAATACAGAAAATTGGAAAAACTAGTTTTTTATATTATGTATGTATCATATTGTAATCATAGAAAAAGAAGTCCAACAATTTTTGACAAAGCTGGAAAAATCACATTTTTAATGTCGTATAATAGTAATTAATCTTTCATCATTTTTAAATCTTGAAGGACTTTATGATCAACAAACATGAAATTATGTTAATTTTATATTAAATGCTACTTGAATCTTATAAAAGTCATTTCTTTGAATATGGTAATTTTCATATGACACATATCCAATTATGTTTTAAGATGATCAATCAAATAAATACAATGGCTGCCATTCTGATTTTAAGTTTGTTGAACTTGAAATTGATCAAAGGCATGAAGAGAGTCATTTGTTTTCCTACTTTAAAGCTCAAGATAACTAGTCTTAGGGGCTGGGGAGATAGCTCACTTGAATAAGTGCTTGCCTGGCAAGCACAAGGACCTGAGTTCAGTCCCCAGTTCTGCAAAAAAAAAAAAAAAAAAAAGATAACTGTGCTTGTTTTAGCCCATTAGCAAGCTTTCCTTCTACTCAGGCACAGAAGAGTTTAGAATACCATGCAGAAAGGGTCTTAGCTCTTTATTTTCATTCTTCTTACTCTCCACTCAGCATTTCCTTTATCTTTTTGCTTTGATTGTTTTTCCCTTGTTGTGTTCCTTCTACTTCTTTTTCTCCCTTTTCCTCTTATTTTCCATCCCCCTTCCCTTTTCTGTGGAGCTGGGATTGAATTTAGAGAGATTGAACCCAGAACCTCACACATTATGGCCAAGCACTCTGCCACGGAGCCCTACCCTAAGTCTTCTCTGTTCCCTATCTTATTTATTTCTGTGATCTTAGAGGCAGACATGAAGAAGGTATTTCCAGTTAGGATGAGGCAAAAAAGAAATCTTTGAGCTGGGAGTGTAGCTCAATGGTAGAATTGTTGGCCAACATATATATGGCCTTGAGTTTGATTCCCTAGCACCACAAACACACACGCATGCACACACACACAGACACGCACGCACACACACACACACACACACACACATGCACACACATCAAATACAAACAGTCTTGAGTACACAGTTCAAAATGCGAAAACTTAAAACTTAAGAGTACTTTCAGCATATACCTTGTATATTGTGATGGTTGTAGCAATAAATGAATCATGCTCCTCTATTCAAAGAGATTGTAAATTAGCAGAGTAATGGTGGATGGTATGAGACAATATGAAAAGTGCTGTTAATGAAGTCTAAACAAAAAGTTGGGCCGGGGAGATGGCTCAATAGAATAAGTGCTTCCCTGGCAAGTGCAAGGACCTGAGTTCAATCCTCGGTTCTGCAAAAAATAAAATAAAATAAAAAGTCCTACGGAAATACAGAGGAGGATTAGTTCACTTTATTTGGAATCAGGAGCAATATCAATGTAAAATTCAGTGATAGTTATGCTGAGTTTTATTTTATTTATTTATTTTTTGTAGTACTATGGATTGAACTCAGGACCTTGCACTTGCCGTGCAAGCACTTAGTCCACTGAGCTATCTTTATGGTTTTATGCTGAGTTTTTGTGAAAATTAGGATTTTAACAGAACTGCTGAAATGGTATAATGTATAAATTGATTAAATATGGTATTCTACCTTTCCGTATTGCCAACCAGATCAGGTTTTGGTGGACAAGTTAAATTACCCTTTTGAAAACATGAGCTCTCTGGCCGGCATGAGGGCCGGACAGATAGCTCAATGATTAAAGTGCCTGCTTAGGCAGATGCAGGGACCAGGATTCAATCCCCAGCTCCACATGTAGTGCATGCCCCACCCACAGGGTGTATTGAGACTGCAATTAAGACTGGGCATGGTGGCAAACGCCTATAATCCCAGCACTTGGGAGGCTGAAAACAGGAGGATCACTACAAGTCCAATCTGTGTAGTGAGACCCTGTAGACTCTATACTAAGTACAAAAAAGAGAGAGAGAAAGAAAACATGCATGTCTTTTTTGACTCATTTTCAAACACGTCAGATAATGGTTTACTACTAATTATCATAGTTTTGAATTATTGGTATTCTAAATATGTTATTCTTGTATTCCAGAGACATATTCATAGCTGAGAAAAAACTTACATCCTCAAGGACACATAAAATATTGATAAGGAACATTGTTAAGATGACCTCATTTTGATAATTGTTTTTATCTTTTAGCTGCCAAATTATAAGGTTCTAGCTCTACTGGAGGAAGCAGCAGATAAAATGTCCCAATATTAATGCTTGAAATATGGGTTATATTTAAGTAATAAGGAATCAGCCTAATAAACTTTAAAAATCAACATTATGAAGTATAGCTTTATTAAATTTAGGGGAAGATAATATCTACAGTTATATTTAGTGATGATACAGTCATGCAATGATTGAACTGCAGTGCACAGATGCTGCACATCTTCTGATAGGGCTGCACTAGTTGTCACTGCAGCCCCCACTGGCACTTCTTCATGGTAGCAAGGAGTTCCTGGGGGATTAATGCAATAACATTCAGTGCTGTTGCTGCACCCCTGAAGCTGTTGTTCCAGGCCTTTTTGGTTAAAATTTAGCATAATAGAACCGTGTTCACCCTTTCATCCTCGTCATTCATTTTTCCTTTCTTTTCCAGCTTAACAAATCATATATTCTTCAGTGGATCTCAGAATTGATAAATCTGCTCTTCACAGTGATTTGGAACTTTACAATCCCCGAGAAAATTTGACCAAGGTCCAAAACTTCTTTTTCCTTTTCCAGACAAAGTCAACTCTAAAATAAACATTTTCTACTCATTTCCTTGTTGACATAAGAACCTACAGTTACTCTACTGTTACTTTCTAGCCCTGGGAAGAACATTTGCATAAGAGTTCTAAGACCCTAACAACACCTTGTGGCTTTTATAGCTGTTTAACTCCTGTGTCTAAACTTTAATTCTGTTGTATTCTTTTCACCATATTTGAGCTTAGCATATTTTCCCTATTGAGTAGAAATGATTATTGTTTTCTTTTTTGAGACAGGTTCTCATTGTGTTGCCTAGACTTATCTTGAGTTCCTGAGCTTGAATGATCCTTCTGTCTCAGCTTCCTAAGTGTGGAGGCTACAGATGCATACCACCTTGCCTGACTTAAATATAAAGTCACTTTAACCTGCCTATTTTCCTCTAGCATATTGGTTTCTGATTTTACCACATACTCTTTTCTCAGGGACTGCACAGGACTGAGTCCGTATGGAAGAAGAACTTGCTCTTTTCTGTGGAGACAGTGGCAAGGTTAGACAAAATCATGCCCTTGGAGCATGTGTATTGTGTTGCATGAAACATACTTCATCAGGTATCTTTTGGTCCCTTGCTAGGATGATCACTGATATAGTATGTTCCTTTGGGCTCGCAGTATAGTGCCTGAGATGCCAGCTGATAATTATTGTAGGGCTGTTGATGCTGAAGGGCCAGCTAGGAACTGATATTGTCAAGAGGGAGAGAAGGGACTCCTAGGGACAGTTAATGCTAGGCTTATGGGTCTCCTGCTGCAGATAATGCAAGATAAGCAGTGTTTAGATCTTTCCCATTACAAAGTCATAAGGTACATAATCTTAGAAGACAGGTTCTCCATTTATCATTTCCTTTATTTCTTTTCCATCACATCTGAATATGAAAGTCAACCAGCTTAAGTCCAAGTAGTGTCCAGTTGATATTAAAAGTTTCACATCTTTTAGCATGCCTATTGACTTCCATCTGGCGTTATTCTATTAAATTTATAAAATATCTGCTCATCACCATGAAAGAGCGTAATGTTGACTATCACTTTCATTTGTCTGTTTTCCACTCTTTTATAATAATTCTAAATTAATACAAAATACCAATTAATTGTACAAACTCAGCATATTGTACAAAGATGGCAGAGCTTCTCAAACAGAACTACAGCATTGCTACATGAGGACTAAATGGGTTCATTTGTGAGTCCTTGTTGAAAGACCCAAAAGTAGTTTATGAAAGAACTGAAAGAGCTTGACACACCTACAAAATACTAAGAAAAATCCCTAATTTTTCTGGGAATTGATTTCACAAAATAAAAGGATTTGCAGTCAACAGTGGAATTACTCTTGTTACATGTAAAGTATGTATTGCTAGAAAAGGTTGTGTTGTTGTTGTTTTTAAGATTTTTTTTTTTTTTTTTTTTTTTTTTTTTTTTTTTTTTTTTTTTTTGCGGAACCGAGGATTGAACTCAGGCTCTTGCGCTTGCCAGGCAAGCACTTATTCTACTGAGCCATCTCCCCAGCCCCAAGACATTGTTTTGGTAGGCATGCCCAACATATAATTTTTATTCTTTATAAATGGCTGTATTTTAAGTTGTATTGTGGCAACTGGGCAGATGTCCATGATTATGTGAATTGTGGGCATCCACTTGACTTCTCATATTGACCCAAAGCCTAGTACTACAGGGACTACACACTCAAAGGCCTGAGAAGGACTCTAATTTCATGGACAGTGTATTCCTTTTGTCATGTTTTCCTTCTTACTACTCCACATTCCTTAGATGCCAGCAACAGGTAGGGGAAGTAGACCAGATGCAGTAGTGGTGCTTGTTTACGTCTGCAGATATGCCCACTGTCCTGCCCTGGCCCAACAGTCACTTCCTGACACGAGGCCCTGCAAAGGCTGCTGGCATGTGGGGTGACTGCCAGGTGACTAAGGCGCCAATAGGAGCTGTGTGGTGAATCCTGGCACATTGCCCCACAGTGTACTTCTATGAACAGAGCTCCTGTAATTACACAAGGCTTGTTTATTTCAAAAAACAGCTACGTGCATTTACAGATGAAGTCGCTAATTCCCTCTGTAGTGATACCCCACACACTTAAAAAAAATGAGACTTTGACGTCTTAATACCCAACAGTCAGCCTTCGGACAGATTTTACAAAGCAAGATATTCACATTTCAGGTGTTCTTAGGCTTCATTGTAATTATTTATTTTCATTAGATTGTGACCTGCTGAAAGGAGTGATTACATCTCAGTTTTATAACTTTAGTTTAGTGAAACTTATTAGGCCCAAATTTCCTTGACTAGTAGTGAATTTTAATAATGTCCAGACTACAGATTATGGTGAACACTCCCATAGAGTAGCACTCCAGTAGTCTGAAGAGTCATGACCTGGGTACTGTTGTCAGGAAAAAAGTGTAGAACTGATGCATTTTAGACAAATGTTTAAAAGCTGATTAGAAATTTACAGCTTGATTCTTGACATCTCTAAAACTACTGATTTTATAATTAGGCAAGCTGAGATCTGGAAATCTGCTTGAAAATAAAACAATGGCCTAGCACTTATGAGGCTGAAGCAGGAGAATTGCAGTTTAAAGCCAGCCTGGACTGGATAGTGAGACCTTGTCTAAAAAAAAATTTTTAAAAACCTTGAAATACCAAAAATGAGGTAGAAAGCAGTCATTGCATCTTGCTAGCTGCTTATCTGAGGAATACAAAAATGTAACAGGAATTTCTCCCTTTTCTTTCTTTCTGTTTTTTGTTTTTGTTTGTTTGTTTGTATTTTAGGGAAAGGTCTACAGCGTGTTCAGGTCTCACTACTAGATTGTACTCCTAGTGATTCACCAGTTTACAGCTTCCCAAGAGCTGGGATCACAGGCACATGACATGTGCCATGTTAGTGCGCCCCAGGGGTGGGGCCGGCATGGCAGGCCCAGAGATCTAACCCCTGGCCCCTGCACCTGCTTGCAGGCTCTTTAATCTGCTGAGCTATTTGGCTGACCCTTCCCTTTTTCTTTAGGGACTCTACGGAAACAATAGCCAAAGCCCTGCAGATGCAGATGCAGACACTGGGGCTGTCAGGAGTACATTTTATGTGACCTTTTTACTCACAATCTGGACTTTTATTTATTTAACTCTAGTGATCTTGTAGTTAGTGTTTGTGTGCTTCAGTTTTCTCATATGTAAAAGGAGAATAGCAGTATCTATTTCCTAACTGTGGTAGAGATTAGAAATAATATTTAAGAACTCTGTTAACTAAAACATCTATACATCCACATGAGATACTTGATGCCACTTTCCAAAGTTCTGGAAATTTACAGAAGGAAAACACACACACACAAAAGAAAGCAGACCTCCTAGAAGATAAGATTGCTTCACCATATAAAGAGTTAGGTAGGGGGCCGGGGAGATGGCTCAGTAGAATAAGCTGTGCCTGGCAAGGGTAAGGGCCTGAGTTCAATCCCCAGTTCCGCCAAAAAAAAAAAAAAGATGTACGTAATTTAAAGTAGAAGCTTACTCTAAAATCCAATACAATCTGTCTTTAGCTTCTAGAGCCTTGGACAAATTTCTCTTCTTCTGGTAAACAAAATGTCTGGTAGAGAAATAAATCTTTTTTAAAAAATTCTTGAATTCTTAGATTAACAATATCACTATGTAAAGTCTTTTTGTTTTTAAAATATACATACAATAAAATAAGGACCTAATTTTATATTTTCCTATGCTTGTAATTTTGTGTATATGTAGGATTTTTGTTTTTAAATTGTAGATTTCTTTTTTTTTTTTTTTTTACGGAACTGGGGATTGAACTCAGGCCCTCTCCCTGGCCCCTTAAATTGTAGATTTCAAAAGAAAAAAAAACATTTTAGATTAAATGAATATTATCTTACAGATAATGCTCACTGATACTCTTGTAAAATGCACTTATATTAAAATAATTGCACAAACAATAATTACTGCTTCAAAATTGAACAGAAAAAAACACTTTTTGCTGTCTGACAGAGAGTGATAGAAGGCTTTGTTCCTGGCTAGGCTGTGACTCCCTCTGAGGGGCATGTGGAATGGAGAAGCACAGTGTGGTTTAGGTCCTGCCGCAAGCTCTCGGGGTGGTGCTGTTGGCAGGACCAGCTGCTTTGCCTCTGTGTTAGTTTCTTAGGACTGCTGTAACAAATGACTGCAAACCATGGCTTACAACAACCGTTTATTCTCTGACCGTTCTGGAGACCGAAAGCCTGAAATGAAAGGCTTACCAGGGCTGTGCTCCTTCTGAATGGAGCACAGTCTTCTAGCTGCTTCTGGTGGCTCCTGGCAACCCTTGTCAGGTCCTGTCTGAAAGAGGCTTTAATCTCTTCTCTGCCTCCATTGTCATGTGGCCTTCTTCCCTGTATGTTTCTGTGTGGCCCTCTCTTAAGGACATTAGTCACTGGAGTTAGGACCCTCTTCTAATCTTGTGGATTATCTTAGCTCATTATATCTGCAAAAACCTAATTTGCAATCAGGGTGCCTTCTGAGGTTCTGGGTTGATATGAATTTTGGGATTTTGTGTGTGTATGGAGGTCACTGTTCTGTGTACTGCAGCCCTTCTCTGGCTCTTCTTGAGATTTCCCATCTATACAATGATCTTAAGAATTATTTTAGCCACACATACCATTAACTAGTTCTATGAACATGTTTCCAAAAAGACTGAATCGAAGGTGTACAGTTGGTCCTCTGTAACCACGGGTTCCACATGCACAAATTTAACTGAGTACAGATTAAAAACACTGAGGGATGGGAACTCCAGAAAATTCTCAAAAGAAAAGCTTGACTTTCCCACATACCATGGATTCCATGTAGATGCAGTGCTGTGTAGGGTCACCCTGCCACAGTCTCCTGCCATTGTACAAATCCTTCGTCTCTCCCAAGCAGGCCCTGTGTGCCTCAAGCCTCATTCATGTGCTGTGTAGTTAGGCCTCTGATGGTTGTTTTATTTTTTATTTTTTGTCATTATTCCCTGAGGATACAGTGTATCAACTATTTACATGGCATTTGCATTGTGCTTGATACTGTAAGGAATCTGGAGGTGAGTAAGTCTATGGGACAATGTCTATAGATGATATGCAAATGATTTAGCACTTTATATCAGTGGCTTTAGCATTTGTGGATTTTGCTATCTAAATATGTCCTGGAACCAGACTATAACTTCAACACAAAGATTGTGGCCCTGTTTTCTTCTGGTATACATTCATTGTCCTTGGAAAGCTTTGATGCTTCCTGGTCATCCACTACTCCATGCAGAACTTATTCTGGTCATCCACTACTCCATGCAGGTTAGGGATTGTTGGCTGTGGATCAGAAAGGAACTGAAAAGTTTGAGAACTTGGTGGTAGTAGAGTAGTGTTTGATAATATGACCTAAGTGAAGTAAAAATTTGAAGCATTTGAGCTAAGAGCAGGTAGTTGAATACCTGGGCTGTTGGTGTGACAGAGATGGAATGGGAAGGAGCACTGTGACTCTGGAAGTACAGCCACCCATTCAACTGATCCTTCCTAGACATTTCACTCTATTCAAGGGAGCAGTGATGTGCATGAGACTGACTTTGTCCTTGTGAACTGTACTTGAGGAGACTGAGGACAGAGCACCTTGCACGTCATTGGTGTGGTCTTTGAAAGAGCAGCATTGCAGACTTATGCTCATAGACAGTTTCAGCTGACTCCTAAGGTGGGAAGAACAGGTATTCTTCTATATTTGTAGAAAATAAGTAGCTAGTCCATGTGACTGTACAGCAGAACTCATTTTTAGTAGGGTTAATTTAATAGCTGAAGAGAAACAGAAGCCTTAGAAAGTCTTTGCTCATTAAAATAAACATGATTTTGGTGATAATCATGAGAAGTGACTAAATATGTCATCTGATAGGCATAGTGACTGTTCATGCATCTTACTGCAACCCTAAAATTTTTTGAACGTTGACAAGTTTACTAATAAAAATGTCTTCAGTGTGGCAGATAAACACACATTTATTTATTTATTTAATATATTTGGTACAGGGTCTCACTATGCTGCTCAAACTCATAGTGATCCTCCTGTTTTCAGCCTCCCCGGCGCTGGGATTACAGGTGTGCACCACCACACCTAGTCTCGGTGGCCAGCTCAGCATACCCCTGGGTGGGAACGCCACAGCATGTGGTGCTGGGGATAGAATCCAGGTCCCTGCCCTTGCCTAAGCAGGTGCTTAGCCTGCTGAGCTATCCTGCTAGCCCCACAAACTCTTTTGAAACAATTTTACAATGTGCATTTTTTATGTTCTTTTGGAAATACAGATATTCATGATCTTAATATTTGCTGTTATGAGTTTAATTGTGATCCTCCAAAATCTGTGTTTGAAGTCCTAAAACCCAGCACCTATGAATGGCAGGTATTTAGAAATAAGGTCATTGCAGGTATAATTAGTTTAGTTAAATGAAGTTGTTAGGGTGGGCCCTATGCAGTATGACTGGTGCCTTTATACAAGGAGGAATTTGGACACAGATATACATACAGGATATAGACAGTATGAACAAACCAAGGAGTGAAGTCTGAAATAGGTTTTCGCTTCATAATCCTGAGGAGCCCAAGTAGCTGATACCTTCATTTCAAAATTTTGGTCCCCAAGACTGTTAGACAGTTCATTTTTATTGCTTCGTTACACTGCTCTAGCAAACCAGTTTGTATAGTTTCTTCCTAACAATTCCAAAGCTGAATAGGAGACAGAGAAACCCTACCAGGCTGGGGAGGTAGCTCAGTGGTCTAAGCACCTACGTAACAAGATCAAGATCCCGGGTTTCATCCCCAGTACCACATGCCATACTTGCCCAGAACCCCAGGTGTGCCACCGTGCCAGGCACTGACACTAAGTATGGTGGCACACGCCTATAATCCCAGCACTGGGGAGGCTGAGCTAGGAGGATCACTATTATCTGAGCTGCATAGTGAGACCCTGTACTAAATAAGTAAATAAATGTTTAAAATGAAAGAAAGTAACCGTATCACTCTTCAAACTGCAGGTCCAGTATAGCTTACACAGAACTGAAATAATGGACCATTTCCCTGGTGTCACCTTCAGCGTTGTTCTTTTATAAGCCTTTATTAAGACTTAGGCAGTAGAGGAAATCCCAGGGCTCCTTCTGTCTCCCTCTGTCTTTTCTTGCTTTTATAACCAGCCTAGTTTCCACAGTTATATTTAGGACAAGCCAGTATGGAAAGTATTTACTAAATATTGAAACTCACCAGAGTTCACACTAGGGTGATTTGTGTGTCCCTGAAGATTAATAGGTGAGACCTGATTCCATCCAGGCCTCTGGTGTCCTGTTGTCATGATAGCAGCATTGAAACAGGTGGCATACAGGAAATTCCTTCCATGGTGAGAGACCTCTAAGAGGAAGGTACCACGTATTCCTCCATAACCAGGTTGGCCCTTCTCTGTAGAAGGAGCAAAGAAAGTGTATTTTTTAATTAAGAGTCGCAATATATTGTTTTCTTTCTCAGTCAGTGCGGGCTACTCTGTCATCTTTGAAGATGTTAGATGTGGGGAAGTGGCCAATTTTTTCCCTTTGTTCTGAGGAAGAGCTGCAGCTAATCCATCAGGCTTGTGTCTTTGGCAGTGCTGGCAATGAAGTTTTGTATACTACAGTTAATGATGAGGTAATTTTTCAAATGAAGTAAAATTTAGCCACCCATAGTTTTAGTAATAGATTTATTAAATGGAAGACTTTGGGGGAGGACTAAGGAATAAAGATAATTTTTTAAAGCATGGGAAGTTGATTTGTATTTATAAAGAATCTGTCTTAGGAAAACTATGCCTGTATAAATGTGATTTATAGGCTTGTCCTAAATAGAGCTGCTTGAATCAGTAGTGGTTTTTCTCACAGATTTTTGTGCTTGGGACAAACTGCAGTGGCTGTCTCGGGTTAGGTGATGTCCAGAGCACCCTTGAACCTCGGAGACTGGATTCTTTAAATGACAAAAAGATAGCTTGCCTCAGCTATGGGAGTGGTCCACACCTCGTGCTTGCAACAACAGGTAATAGGAACTCAACGAACAATTTTGCTTCTTTATTAGTTGAGAAACAAGACTAGGCCTGCCCTGAAACTGAGAATATTCTTTCTCATTGTGGAATACTTGCCGACTCTACCTTGTGGACTTAATGATACACTGGACAACATGAAATGAATATATCTAAGTATCAGAATAATACAGCAAATGGAATCTGACAGTTATGGGCATTTTAGATATATGAACAACAATGCAATAGACCCAATAAACCCCTTCAGTTTTTATTTAGTAAGTATAATTACTGTGTAAGAACAGTCCCCTCACTCTGGACCATGGAAAACTTCTTTTTGAACTTTTAAGGTTTCTTTTTTTTTTTTTTTTTTTTGGCAGAACCAGGGATTGAACTCAGCCCTTGCGCTTGTCAGGGAAGCACTTATTCCACTGACCCATCTCCCCAGCCTCTAAACTTTAAGGTTTCTGCAGCCTTAACTTTAATTCCAACATTCCCCTCAAACTTTCAGCATTCTGTGCTTCTTACACTGGAGACTGATGGCTATAGATGGCTTTAGTAGTATTAAACATTCTCATGACTAATTCATGAAGTCAGACTAATAACATTTTAGAATTACATAGAGTTTTCTTTGAGGCTGGTATTCATTTTGTTAGTATTTCAACTGAAAATAAATTTGTACATATTCCTTTGTATATTAATTTGGCATTTAAAATTACATTCTAGGGACTTTTGGTTTCTAGGAATAATAGGTTAGATTATTCAGACCATTACTTCATTGAAAACAGCAATTCTAGACTTTAAAAATTTAAAAACTTTTCATACATACTGTCAAAGCAGAAAGAAATTAGCCAGCCAAATCTAGGAGAAAGTATCAAGGTTAGAGGAGAATGAAGCCATCTTGCTTTCAGAGATTCTTTCTAGGCACTGGAACTGAACTGTGATTTGGGTTGGCCTGGGAGATAGCGTAGGTCTGTAACAGAAGTCTTCACACTCAGGCCGGAACCACAGAGGCTGCTTCCTCAGGAAAGTAATGACCACATCCCAGGGACTGAACAGAGTTCCTTCCTCTGAGCAAAGTAGGGAGGGAGAAAGATAGAAGTGAAGGAAAACCTTTTCCTGCGAGTTTCACCATGTGATATTTCTAGTTTCATTCACATCAGATTAATTGAGAAATCTCAAACCTTGAGTTTATTGGAGGTACTGTAGTAGAAGAGCTTTAAGGAGAGAATAAAAATTAGTACAGATTCTTTCTAGAGGAATACATCTTCAGAGACCTGGCGAGCTCACCACAGGCAATGCCTCACTGGCAATCCACAGCAAATCATCCAAGATAACCAGGCATACAGCAAACAAAATACCATGAGTGGGCAAAGACAAAATTACAACAGAGTTAAAGATTGTATGTAATTGGCTTTTTAAGCAATAATTCATTCCATAAAATAGGGTGAGTCTTCCAGTGATCTCTAAGGATTAAATGAGGTCCTTCATGTAGCCTGTTCAAGGATTCAAACCCCCACCCCCAGCAGGTCAGATAAACATCTTATTTTTGTCTGGTTTGGTTTGGTCTCTTGGATTAGTGCTGCAGCTCAGTCCAAACCAGTAGCCTCCAGATTTTACTTACTGAATGAGAGCAAGCATAAATAAGAGACATATTAGAACTTTTTTGTTGTGTAAACATTTGTTCAGATGGTGTAAAAAGACTTGAAAAGTAACATGAGTTGCATTTATTTATTTGTTTATTTATTTATATTTAGTATAGGGTCTATAGGGTCTCACTACATAGATTGGACTTGTAGTGATTCTCCTGTTTTCAGCCTCCCAAGTGCTGGGATTACAGCACCACCACGCCCATTCTCCATCTCTGTCTCAGTGCACCCCTTGGGTGGGGCCAGCATGGCAGTCCTGGGGATCAAATGCCAGCTGCTGCACTCTGCCGAAGCAGGTGCTAGTCCACTGAGCTATCTGGCCGGCCCCACTAGTTGCTTTTATAAAATATTTTTCTAATATTAGTAAGAAGCAGGCCCATTAATAGACAAAACAGAAAAGAACATGCCAACATTATTGTCTGTTTTCATTAATAAATAGGTAATTATTTTAACATGTGCATGTCAGCATTGAGCTTTGGAAAACAGCTGCACTGTGGTAAAGGTCCAACTATTTGTCTTCTGTCTCATGGATACTAGAATTGTCAGGTACCATTTACAAGGCAGCTGTGTTTATTGTATGAAAATAAAAATAAAGTGAGCTCAAAGATAGCTACAGAGATCATAGAAATTTTGATAAAGACTGAAATGGACAACATAATGATCAAAATGAATATTCAGTGGACAAGTTTTATAGTTTCAATATCACAAAGATCAATGAACTGCAGGACTGGTCAAGAGATTATCAGAGACAATGTAGAGGAAAAGAAAAAATGAATATATACTGTATGATTCCATTTGTTTAGTGTTCAAAACTAGGAAACTTTCTTTGTGTGAGATACGCATATGAGAGACTTTGGAGGGTGATGTACTTTGAGGTTTTTTTTTTTTTTTTAATTTTTTTTATTTTTGGTGGAACTGGAGATTGAACTCTGGCCCTTGTGCTTGCCAGGCAAGTGCTTATTCTACTGAGCCATCTCCCCAGCCCCTACTTTTTAACCTAAGTAGTAGTATGTGAGTGTGTGCTTTATACTTCTTTGTAAAATTGTACATCTATATTTTATGAACTTTTTGATTTGTATTAAGTTGTTCAATAAATAATAAAAATTTTTAAAAGTAGTTATTATTTTGTAGAAAAGGGAATAGATCCATAAAAGAGTCTTATAATCTCTTAACTTATGATTTGATACATTCCTTGTTACTTTTAGCAACCTTTTTTCTGCTGTTTATTTTGTTGTTTTGTTTTGGCTGACCTCCAACTCATGGCAAACCTCCTTCCTCAGCTTCCCAAGTGCTGGGACTACCTGGCCTTCTCTGCTGTTTATTAAAAATATATCTCCCAGCCATTATGACTGCATGCATTCAAATTTCATCTTGTTGTTCTAAGATAGAGTTCAGTTTATACTTATCAAATAGCTTCTTTCATGGAATGAATTTGGTGTAATAAAGAAGTTGATTTAGTCCTTTGCAGCTAGATTTTTAGTTTTCATTTGTGCAAATATAGTAATATATATCTTCATATAATGGAGTAGATAATTTAAAAGCTGGTCACCTTTCTTTTTATTTTCAGAAGGAGAAGTCTTTAGTTGGGGTCACAATGCATATGGCCAGCTGGGCAATGGGACAATTAATCATGGTTTAGTGCCCAGCCATATCTCTACTAATTTGTCAAACAAGCAAGTCATAGAAGTTGCCTGTGGATCTTACCATTCTTTGGTGCTAACAGCTGATGGAGAGGTGAGAATAACACAAAGCTCATTGCATAAATAACATTTTATGGTTTCCGTAGCAACCTGGGAACTTGACCATTTGATTAAAATAATCTTCAAATTCAACATTATTCTTGGTGTTCCTTATGTTTACATTATGAGGTTTGCCTGTATAAGGACTTGCATCATTGCAAAATGTAAAAGAATGTTTTTGTCCTTCTGTATTGCTATACCAAAAGGATTATTTACAAAAAGGAAAATCCTGAAATGCTGGAGAATTTGGCTGAAACAAAGTTGATAGGTTGATGCTTTGTATGGTATTTGGTGGTAATTATTATTGTTTGTGTAGATAACACCAAGAACATATTTTTTATAAAATAATATGTTGTGTGTAAGAATGATTTTTATAAAAAATCTTCTCTGCCAGTGTTACAGGAACTTGAGGTTCTGAAACACTTTGAGAGGAGCGATGGAGGCTGTAAGTACATGGCAGTGTCCAGTCGAGACACTGTAATAGACTTCCCCGCTTAATCTTTTCTGTGCAGGTGTTTGCCTGGGGCTATAATAACTCTGGGCAGGTAGGGTCTGGATCCACAGCTAACCAGGCGATCCCTCGAAGAGTCACTGGCTGCTTACAGAATAAAGTGGTTGTGAACATAGCGTGTGGGCAGATGTGCTCAATGGCAGTGGTAGACACTGGGGAGGTAAGACAGCTGCTTCATATTTTGTTTAAAAAATCTTTTTGCTGTGTCAGTGCTATACCAGCATGATGTATTTTTCTCCTAACAGAATTGGTTGCCATTTGTCTTTCATGGCCATTCTTTTGCTCATCTTTTCCAGGTCTATGTCTGGGGTTACAATGGGAACGGGCAGTTGGGACTTGGCAGCAGTGGCAACCAGCCAACACCCTGTAGAGTGGCAGCTTTGCAAGGCATTCGTGTGCAGCGGGTAAATCCACTGCTGGTTTATGTGTGCGTGTTTTCAGATCTTCAGTTGCAAAGATACAAGTGTGTTAAAAACAGTTTTCCTAGCAGCATGAAAAGTTCAGCTGTTTGGCTGTCTTCACTGAAGTAAAGACTAAACTTTTTTCCCTGCATTAAGTTGTAGCTCTTCAGAAAAGTTCTGTTTCTAAGACACTGGCCCACACAGCTGCTGGAATGCAAGTTGTTACAGCTGTTGCCAGAGAGGCTTTGGCAGTGGATGTTAAGAGCTTTAAAATCTTCGTGCTCTATGACCTATATAATTCTACTCCTAGGGAACCATTCTAAGGAATCAAAGAGAAAGTCTTTCATAAAATTAGTTAAGAAAATATAACCAGAAAAACTAAAACAAAAATAATAAAACCAACCAAAAAGGATCTATAATAAAAGACAGTAAGTATATAATTTAGTGAAACAATAAGTGAATGACTAGATAAGTTCTGTCAAGTATGTATGATGAAAATGATGTTTATAAAGAATTTTTAATGATATAGAAAAGTGCTCTGTTTAATGTTAAGTGAAAAGAAACAAGATACAGAACTGCTTATATGGTATCATTTAAAGAAACTTAGGACCAGCAAGATAGCTCAGCAGACTAAGTGCCTGCTGAGGCAAGTTCAGGGACCAGGGTTCAATCCCCACACCACATGCTGCACTGGCCCCATCCCCAGGCATGCTGAACTGGCCACGGAGACCAGGTGTGGTGGTGCACATCTGCAATCCCAGCACTGGGGAGGCTGAAAACAGGAGGATCACTGTGAGTCTGAGCTGCATAGTAAGACCCTGTACCAAATACATTAAAAAAAAAAAAAAAATGAGGTAGCCCTGTGGAAGTTTGGAAGCTCCTCAAAAAAATTAAAAAAAAAAATTATGTGCATGTCTCTGTGTCTGTACATAAATAGAAGACTGGAAACTCTGATCTTGAGAATATCCTTAGTTATATTTTTTTTTCTTTTTCACATTGCACATGCCTTACTTTAATAATCAGAAGCAAGAATAAAAGTATCTGTGTTGCATATTCAGCTCACACCCCTTGGTTTCAAGTGAGGGTGAAGAATGGTACCAGGGAGCTTCCTCGAGCTGCACAGGGCAGCCGGTGGGGACTCAGGGTCTCTGCAGTCCTGGCCACCAAGGCCTGTGCCAGTGCCACAGTGGTATTCACATTGGCCTTTTGGGAAAAGCTGAATCTTCTTTCTTTTCATTTTTGATGCTTAGTCCACTTTGTAGATATTTCCTTCTGTATGTAGCCCTGAGAGGATTTGTTTTTGTCCTTCCAGGTTGCCTGTGGCTACGCACACACGTTAGTATTAACAGATGAAGGTCAAGTGTATGCTTGGGGTGCAAATTCTTATGGCCAGTTGGGCACTGGCAATAAAAGTAACCAGTCTTATCCAACTCCTGTCGTTGTGGAAAAAGACAGGTAATGTGCATTTCCAAAATAACCTCAGTAGTCTCTAGTGATTAAAGAGGACTTAGACATGCTATAGAACTACAGAGAATTTACTGCTATCAATCGGATATCTTCAACCAGAGTATTACCTGTTTTCTAAAAGTTGGCTTGTGGCTTGTTGGGAAGATTGACTATTAAAAACACTATTTTTTACTTGTGTATACCTTTAATAGCTACTCCGTGTAGACTACAATGATTGAAAATCTTACAGCCATTCTACATTGTTCTTGCTTACAAATAATCTTTTTTTCTCCTGTTTTAGAGGAAGTTGATAATATTTGAGGTCTACCTTCTGTGGCTTGGAAAAATGATAGTATCTAGAATGAGGTGAACAACCAGTTCCTCTGCTACTTAAGAAATTTGCCGTCAGAAAAGACAGGATTATTTTGTTACTTTAATCCCTGAGCTATTGTTATGAGAAAGGGTTAGTAAATTGACTTAGTTGTGTGTACTAATGTACAAGGTTTTGCATGGCCAGAATTAGTTTCTAAATTATCTTAATATTTTTGAAACTTTCTTAATTTTTCAGGCATGCTGTATTATTGATGTCTTTTCACTCATGTCTTGACATGGTAGAATGTTACAAAAACATTTCATTATTGTTTCTTTTAAGTCAGGCTTGCAGTCATAGAAATTAATCCTGCTGTGTTTGTTTTAATTCACATAGTATAATTGATTTTAAAATAAATATATTGGCATATAATTACTTAACACTTATTGTAGTTCTTTATATTTTCTGTTAGAATGCTTAACAGCAAAAGAACCAAATTATCATTTTCATCCTCCTCACTTTTCATTTATATATTGTGAATTCAATAAATTTTGTTCAATGTAGACTGAATAAGTTTTAAAATACTATTTTTTCTTATTAAAAAATCTTACACTTTGACTCCTAAGAACTACGGTGAAGGGGAGTTAATGGAGGCAACAACTGGTGCAGGTCGGCACCTGCAGCCCTATCATTTGTTGATCTTGTCCAACTATTCTTAGCTATTTAGTAAGGGGAAAAGGACCGTTTGGAGGCTTTGAGTAGCTGCAAAGTGCCCCTCAGGCCTGGCAGTCCACAGAATGGAACCACTTAGTATTTAACCTGCACAACACAGTGTTAAAGGATAAATAAAGGTAACATGCAAATAAAAACCACATATTTGTATGGCTCTTCACTTCCTATAGTGCATCCACATTTACCAAAACTACTCGGTCTGCTGTCACTTCCTACCATCGACTAGCTCATGGCTCCCTGCAGTCCAGTGATGACACAGGCATTTCTGACTTTGGTTCCCATGGGAACAAATTGAGAGGCACCCAGGTGGAAGCAGAAGAAAGCAGAGAAATGGAACAGCAGTGCCTGGAGTGCCGAGTTGTTTAATTAGACCATGGGATTATTTGTGGCCCATCTTATTAAAATGCAGTTGTTTGGATTTATAAGTGTAAAAAAGTAGAGCTGGCTGTGCCCCTGCTGTTGTCCACATAAACATTATTCTGGCTATAAAAATTGTAGGTGAGTGTTTTCAGTGTCCTGTTCCTGACAGTGTCAGTTCTCAAGGTGTGGCTGGTGATGTCTGAGCTGGCACAAAGCTGCTCTTGGTCTCAGATTTCCTTTGTGCTAGGACTTGTTCTACATGCTCCACCTTTTCCAGTGGCCGAACTTCACAGACAGGTCGTGACTTCTCTCTTAGGAAGCTTCCTTCTGACTCCTTTGGAGCCTGTGGCAAGGAAGCGTTTCTAATTAGCAATAGGTTGAATTTGAGGTGGCACAGGGTAGGGCTTTAGGACTTCGGTGCCAACTCCCCAAAGTGAAAAGGAGAAATCTGCCTGCGTTGGAGTCTTTCCTCACACAACCCAGGGAAGCGTTTTAAAGTCTTTTTTTTTTTTTTTTTTTTTTTTTTCTGTCTTGAGACAGGATAGCAGGATAGCACTATGCAGTTCAGGGTAGCCTTGAACTCACTTTTTTTTTTTTTTTTTTTTTTTTTTTTTTTTGCGTTTTAAAGTCTTTTCAAGAGAAATTTATTTGTGGAAAAAAAAAAAAACAAAACTGGTTTTGTCAGTAATTTATGTTTATGTAAAAATAACTTTTAAAATTACCATGATTGTCTTATCTCTAACTTAGTCCTCAAATTTCATTACTGTACTTTGCTATTTGATTGACTGGCATTGTGCCTTTGTTCTTACAACTCCATTAGAGCATATTGTAATTAAATTGATGTAGAACAAGTTTTGCTTTGAGTTTTCAAAAATTCTGTGACTTTTTGAGGTAATCAGTAATACTTTGGGCTCTTATTAAACCTGGCCTGGGAATCACTGCTCTGGATGATTTGAATATTGCTACTTCTTCTCCACGCTTTTCCCTTACAAATTACTTCTTGCCCCTCCTGCTCCTGACTTTGCTTCTTTTCTTATCTCCCTGCTTGCTCACTTCTAGTACGTCATGGCCATTACGCTACGTGGTTACCACAGATCATTTCATCCAGGTGGCACAAAACCCTTTTATCAAGAACATGTAGTTATTTTTCCCATTGACGGGCTGTGACACAAAGTGGATGAAATATGCCACACATTCTGACACTAAAGGCCAGCTCAGTTTATAATCATTGCTTAGCAGCATGTAATTCTGAAAAGTCCATCTTTAAAAGTAGCTTCTTGGGATGAAATCTGATTTAAAAACCAATCACTGAGGATAAGATGAGGTTCCCTGCAGTTACTTGGGTCCCATCTCAATGCCTGAAGACTCCTTCTAAACTGGCATGCTGTGGCAGCTGCTACAGTCAGCACTACCCGCGCCCTAGCCCTGACCTCCCCTCTGGAGGCAAGCGTGCCAGGCAAAAGCTTCAGTGCGTCTGCCTATCCTTGCCCCTTTGTTCTGCCTGTCTCAGCCCTGATGAGTCACTAGCTGCTGTGGTGGGGGACAAAGGCTGCACCCCTTCATGGAAGGTAGTAGCAGACACTTCAGAAGGAAATGTAAGAATTTAAGTATTTTTATTTTTCTATGTAAAACTACTTGTTGTATTCTAGCCAGTGACACTTTTGAGAGAATAGTGCAGAAAGTGTCTTTCATTTTAAGATGTCTCCCAAATACAAAGAAATTACTCAGAAATTCTATAAATCTTTGCCTACTAGGTCTTTATAGTAGTACTTAAATAGAGCAAGAGCAGTTAACTAATGTTTACCTAAAGATCACTGGGCTCTTCTAACCTCCTCTCCCGCTAGGAATACCACACAGCCTGCATGACTGAAGTAGTTAAAATCTCTAAAGCCTTTTTCCCATTTATCTGTTTAACTCTAGGTATATATTGAGCCTGTTCCCACTGTCAAACCAGCTCTCTGCCCACTTCCCTTGTCACTGCAGGGCTGTGGTTTTCTCCTTTGCCCTTTTTGTGGTTGTGGGGAAGGAACCTAGGGCCTTGTGCATGGCAGGCAGTGCTCTACCACTGAGCTGCGCCCCCGCTCTGGGCTGGGTGTTTTTTAGACTTGGATGCCAAGGTTTCTGGCATCTCTCTCTTCTCTGCATTGGTATCCAGGCAGCCCTGATTCCTCCTAGGTGATATGATTTGGAGGCACTGTGACCTCCCTTACCTAGCCTCTTAGGCTGGTCTTTCTGTCAGACTGTTGTCAGGTTAGTCCTCTCAGAATACCGTGTTACCTCCCCCCGCAGCTCTGTTCACAAGACTGTTCCCCACTTGCTGTGGAAACTTGCATCAAGACCAAACTTTGTTGTTGAGTTTAAGAGGCCTGGCAAATCTCATGGCTCCCTTCCCTTTCTTCCAGTTAGGTACATAATAGTACACCTCCTTCCAGCCTTGCTGCTTCTGCCTGCTGGCTGCACATTGGCTCGTGCACTTCGCTGCCTTATTGAGTCTTAGTCCATCTCTGACAAGTGCAGAATCATCTGCAGGGCTCAATAAGCTCCCTTTACTGTGAAGTGCCCAGGTATCTTCCCTTGCCCTCTGGAACACTGGTGGACCTTGCCAAGATGATGTAATTTGCAAATTGCTTGCAATGCCAGAGCTCTGTGACTCCCTTCAGCTAAATTATGAGCTCCTTGGGGGAGGCTTCAGAGTTTTGCAACAGCTGTCAAAGCTTTTAGGCATAGAAAGAAGCTGTTTTGATTACTCAACTCTGCTGGACACTTTATTTCAGTTCCTCTATACCACAAGCCTGAGAGATGATAGCTATCTTGTATCCTGTACCACTCTTTTTTTCTTTAAAACATAGGATCAAACTGATTATAAGAATGAAAGTAATGTGGTTTCTACAAACTATGTTGTTTCAGAGCATGTGTGTCCCACCACGCCGGGCTGCCTGAGAGAATTGTGTTGCTGTCCTCACATTCAAGTGTGATGTGGGAGACTTGCCAGGGAAATATAGGGAGCAGTGGGTGTACTTTTCTTTGAAAAACCTAATTTCTTTCACTTCCTTCTCCCATTTTCTCTATTTGTTGAAAAGAATGGGCTTGTTAGGGAGCCAAGTCTGTAGAGGCAGACATTTCGCCATCATGTAAACAAGGTTCTTCTGCAGACCACTAGATTAAAGTTGGATCTACTTGACTGATCAAACTGTGGATAATTTACCAATCTGAATTTATCACTCAAAATATATAGTTTCTACCACAATGGAGGTGTTGTCACTTAAACTGTTTAGTAGTAGATTAAACATAAATTAGAGGAGGCCACTATTTTGGCCTAAGCTGTACTGGGCCCCAACAGACCAAGCTAAAAAATCAAAATGCTATCATTCATGTTAAATTTTACTTTTCTAAGCTGTTTATCTGACCCATGAAATCAAGACTACAGGAGTAACAGCCAAATGGTCTCAACTGCCCAGTTCCAATCAGCATAGTAAGGTAATTTCCTCCTCTTCATCCTGACACAGAAATTGTTAGCCACTATAGCCCAGAGCTGACCAGCAGTTATGTTCTCACTGTTTTGTCTCCTGCCCCTTCTTCACAAGGAAAGTAACTTTGAAATGACCAGTCCAGTTCATGCTTTTTATGTCTGCTTTCTTCTGCCCTTCTCTTCTCAGCCTTTTGGAATACTTAGTCTATTTTGTGGAATGAAATGTTATCCAGTTCTAGAACTGAAAAGAATAAAGCCAATTAGTCATTAGACTAAACTTTTAATTTTATCCTTGGATAGTAATAATACTAAGAAACTTCTGTTGTTATACTTTTATACATGTATCTGACATTCTACCTGGCACTTAGCATTTTATCGTTTAATTCTCTCAGAGTCCTGAACTGAGGTAAAATCGAAACTGACGTTCTCCGAGACTGAGTTGCATTCGCACAGTCCTATGGCCTAGTTGTATAGTGTCTTTCCCCTAGCATTCATGGGTTTTCCAAAGCTGAGAGCCATCATCTAATGAGCCAATGAATATATAGACTACCCATAAAAACAGTTACATGTCAGCCTGTGAGTTCTGTCACATACTGAGCATCTTCTGTCTTGGTTGGGAAACATCGGAGTTATGGAGGCCGTAGAAGACAGATACTTCCAACCTTCAGTTGGTGGGGTCTCGCCCACCCATCGAGTACTGTATATTGCTGAATCTTCCCCAGTTGACCAATGAAGTGACTTACAGATTGCATTAGTAAGACACTGTTGTGTGCTCAGATACTGGAAAATAAGCTAATGAGCTAGTCTGCCAAGAGCTTGTGATCTTACTGAATAGTTGAACCTTACCCCAAAAGCTGTCTAGGCCTAGCTGGGGTGTTGTGGACAGGGGACTGGGAGAGAGGCCTCTTACTTTAACAAATGGATAGGGTTTGTAAGGCTGAGAGAAAGAAGCAACATTCTCTTCATAAGCTCTATAACCAGGAGACACAAGGCCCAGGAGTACATCTGTTTGTCAAACAGGCATGTGGGCCAAAGTGACTTGAAGGAAGATGGCACTGAAGGAAAGCCAGATTCTAGAAGGCCTTGAGATCTTGTGACTGGATTTTGTCCAGTCAGAAGCCACTGAGGTTTAAAGGCCCTGGTGAGAATGGTGTCTTAGGAAGACTGCTAACCTGCCAGACTGGTATGATTTGGGGCCAACAAGAAAGTCTAGGGCAAGGATACTTGACAGGCTGCTAATGGCCAGAGAAGGGTGTGTCTGGCCCCACTATGGTGGCTCACTTCTGTGTTTCTTGTGTACTGACTATTCAGTGGCAAGTGAGGAGGTGATGGTCAAAGGCTTCTGGAAAGTGCTGAGCCTCGGTCTCTCAGGTTGCTAGGCTGTAACCTGTTATGGCAAAATAGAGATAAGTACTTCATTTGAGGTAAAATAAAGTATTCATCATCCTCTTGGAGTGTGTGTGTGTGTGTGGCTTATTCAGAAAAGTAATTCTTTCTAGATCAGAAGAGTAGTATTTTCCACTAGCAGGTATTCTGAGAACTACTCCCCTGTAAATCGTACACGTAGGCACCAGGGTCCTGGACTAAGCCCAGGAATTGCACTTGGGCTCGCATTGAATCTTTATATTGAGAGGAGTTACTGAATTTTGGCTGACAGTGCAGCTCTGTGGTAGGTTTAACTGTTTAGCATGCAGGGCCCTGGGTTCCACCTCCAGAACCATAAAGAAAAACAAATAAGTAGAAGCCACTAAATTTATGGTATGCAGTAGGAGTTGGGATAATTTTCAATATGTTCCCTTTATTCCTAAAATAAGTGAAAGTTTTTAATTTTGTTTATTTGGTGATAGAGATGGAACCCCAGGGCCTCACACATGCTAAGTAAACATATACTTCACTGCTGAGCTGTAGCCCCAGCCCAAAGATGTGAAGCCTTGATTAAAATATTTATTAACCCTGAATCAAGATGGTCCACACCTTGATTACCTATGTCAGTAATGTTTTAAGAACAAAAAAGTTAAGTCATTCCTTTTTCTTTTTGACATGTACTTGGCATGGTCACATTTGAATTTCAAACCAAGATGGTGCATGTTTTTATAGGGCTGCTGACTAAAGTGGTGTCCAAAAGGCCCTAATGAGTTACAAGTGCCATCGAAGTCACAAGTGCTCTAATGTTTGGCACCCAAAACTTTAAATGTGGTATTTAAATGTTTTGTTGCCTGTTTTGGGATGCCCCAGGTCAGTAAGAGCCTACGGGAAGAAGCAGCCACCAAATTTCTTCTGCTGCTCACTGTGTTTCTGTGCTGTTTGCTTGTGCATTTAGGATCATAGAAATTGCAGCCTGTCACTCCACCCACACGTCTGCTGCCAAGACCCAGGGTGGGCATGTGTACATGTGGGGCCAGTGCCGGGGCCAGTCAGTGAGCCTCCCTCACCTCACCCACTTCTCCTGCACTGATGATGTGTTTGCCTGCTGCGCTACGCCTGCTGTCACCTGGCGCCTCCTCTCTGTGGGTGAGCTGGTCCTAGTTCATTTGCTGCACAGACTGAAAACTAGGAAGAAAGCTTGGTATTTTGTTTTTGTATCGTGACTTCATTTTGAGCAAAATTGTGGTTTATTTCCTAATAATAGGCTCCTGTGAGAGGGAACTATGTTGAATAAATTTCTTAAAAGCATCAGGAACTAAAATCAGTACTAGATTAAAAGTACTTCTATTTGACTGAAGCTTGGGGGTTTTTTTGTTGTTGTTTTCTTCTTTTTCTGAGACAGGATCTCTCTGTATAGGCCAGGCTGGCCTTGAACTCTTGTTCTGCCTCAGCTTCCCAAGTGCTGAGATTATAAGCATGTGATACCATGGTTGGATGCTTTGACTGGTTTTTAATTTTACTGGGAAACTACATTTTAAAAAAGATTTAGCTAGTATGCTAGCTAAATTTACTTGAGCATTCTAAAATTTAATTTTAACTTAGTAAGGTAACAGGACATTTTTGCTCCCTTGGCCAAATTTATAGGCAGATGTTTGGGGTTTTTATCATGGATTCCAAAAATGTGAGTTCAAATTTAGGAGAACAAAAGTGTTGCATGGTTGGCCAGTTATTTTAGGGCCTGGCATTTTCAGAGCATCAAAGAACCAGGCACATTTGTGTTCCCTGGTCCTCAGCTGAGCCTAGCACTGGTGGTGTTTCTCTCTTAGAACCTGATGACCACCTCACTGTGGCTGAGTCACTGAAGAGGGAATTTGACAACCCAGACACTGCAGATCTGAAGTTTCTAGTTGATGGAAAATTCATTTATGCACATAAAGTCCTTCTCAAAATTAGGTAAGTAGTCATTTATTTTGAAAATTAAGATGAATCTATCTCTTCAACAATTATTTCTGTAGGGTCTGAGAAACTATGCTGGGTACATTGTACTTATGAAAAAACACAAGGTGCTTTTTGCCCTTCTGAGTGCACGGTGCAGCAGGAGAAGATGTGTGATGCGGGCAACCAGAAACAGTGCAGATCAGGCCCAGCAGGTGTGGGCTATGTGGCTAAGCAGTCTAGTCTGTTGGTGTTCTTCAGAGGCCTTAAAAATACTCGGTCCACTTTGACATTAGCGATGAGTCAGTTGCCACCACAAGGTGAGTGTGTTCTGTGCTTTGACATATATAACCTCCCCTGCCTGGTAAATAAACTCAGCCCATGGTAAGTTTTCTCTTCAGTCTGTTGTGAAATATTTAACTTTATGAAAGAGAAAATCAAGCTTTTCCAGACCAACAAGATGTTGGTGAGGCCAACATAAAGGTTTTTTACATTAAATTGTTGATGCTTAATTTATGAGTAGTGAGTTGCATCCGTTCCAAGGCTGCTTGATAAGTATTGTCATATGTAAAACCACTGCCCTAAACATTTCCTTCCATTGCCTACCAGAGGTCCCTTAGGGCCCGTCCTAGGCAGCCAGTGACTTTTTGTCCCTATAGATTGGTTAGTATTTTCTATAAGTTTATATAAATCAAATGGTACAATATGTATTCTTTTGTGCCTGGTTATTTTCCTCTTAGTATAATGATTTTGAAAATAATTACATTGTGAGACATTTAAATCGATTTCAGTAAATCTCAAGTCGCATATATTATTTCAGCCTCAAGTTCCCCTTTGGTCAGGTCAGGCTGTTCTGCATCTGCTCACCCACTGTAGCACATAAACCTTCATAAAGAAAGGGGCAGATTAGTTTGCTCAAACCAAGTACTACAGGTGGGTGGATTAAACAATAGACATTTCTTCTTTCACAGTTCTAGAGGTCACAAGTCTAAGATCAAGTGTTCACAGAATAATTTCTTCTGGAGGCTGGAAGAAGTTGTTCTGTGCCACTCTCCTGACTTTCAGTGATGTGTGACAATCTTGGGCATGTCTAGGCCTGTGGCAGCTTATCACAGCATCCCACAATGCTCCCCTGTGAACATCTGAATCCCTATCACAAGGACACCAGTCGTACTGAGCTGGGACTAGAATGACTTCATCTTCATTTGATAACCTTTTAAGAGGCCTTGTCTCCAAATAAGGCCATGTTCTTTAAAACAGGAGGTTAGGACTCCAACATATTTTTAAGAGATAAAATTCAACCCATAGTTAGGTGAAAAAACGAAATTACCCAGATTTATAAACATTGTTCAGTAAATATAGTATGAGAAAGATAGCAGGGCACCCTAATTTGTTCCCATCAGCTTAGCTGTAGAAGTAGCTTCCCAGGCTGCCCACAGCAGCAATTCGGATTTGTGGCTTTGTTGAATAAATAATTGAAAACTTTAGCCAGCAAAGAAAGCAAGGAGCCAACAAAGGTGTCGTGTTGGTCAGTGTGTTAGTTACTTTTTGCTGGGACAAAGAACCCAACACCCAAAATTAAGGGAGAAAAGGTTTATTTAGCTTACAGTTAGTGGAGGTTTCAGTCCATATTCTGCTGGCCTTAAGGCAGAGTGGCACATGGCAAAGGGCAGCCTTTTGTGTCGAGGCAAACAGCAAGAGCAAAGGGAGGTGCAGCAGTGGCAGCAGACAGCAAGCCTCTCTCCTTTCCATATTTGCATGCAGGCTATCCACTCCAGGGCAGGTGTAGCACTCACACCCATGATGTGAGCACTGGATGACTTGCACTGGATGACGAATTAATCACGAACTCTAGAAGCCGCCCCCATACTCTGGTTTCTCTTCAGATCGTATAAATCTTTCGCCTTTTACTAGAAGCCGACCCAGTGACTGCATGAGGCTTTGGGGGAACACCTAGACACAAACCATAACAGTCAAGTTTTCTATCACTATAACACAACACCTGAGATAATTAACTTATAAAAGAAAGGCTTATTTATTTGGCCCACTAGCAAGTTAACATCCACTTTAAATGGTTTATTTTGGCTCATGGTTTCTGGAGTCCTAGCCCAAGATCAATTGGTTCTATTGCTCTGGGCCTGTGGAGAAGCAGCATGTCATAGTGGTGTGTCTGACAGAGCAAAATACTTACCTTATGAAGGAGCAAAAGAGGAAGTGAAGGGGCAGATCCCATCTGCAGTGCCTTTTGAGACTCTGCCTCATGATCTCAGGCTTTCCACTAGGCCCTGCCTCCTAAAGGTGCCCCAGCTTCCCAGCGGTGTCACCCTGGAGACCAAGTGTGCAACACATGGCTGTTAGAGGGTATTTAGCATCTAAACTGTAGCAAATGAGGAGGTGTCCAACTTCAAGAAAAGGGTATGCTCCTCTGGGAGAGGGGCGTTGGCACCGAGGACCCTGCTTGCTTCTTTCTCCCTTCAGGTGTGAGCATTTTCGTTCTTCATTGGAAGACAATGAGGATGATATTGTAGAAATGAGTGAATTTTCATATCCTGTATACAGAGCCTTCCTGGAATACCTGTACACAGACAGCATCAGTCTTTCTCCTGAGGAGGCAGTAGGTAATTGCCAGAAACTTTACTGAGTAATTAGCAAAATGTCAAGTAACTGACATTGTGGTTTCTGTAGAGCCTAAAAGAAATCACTGTGTAGGTAATTAGGAGTTGTATGTGTTGAATTCAAACTGTGTGTGCATGGGTGCATGTATGTGCACGTGTGTGTGTGTGTGTGTGTGTGTGTGCGCATTGGGACAGAGGGGAAAGGCAACTCATTGCTTCTGGCACAGCAAAGATAAGATTTGTTTTATCAGTAATTATAAAATGGTTCTGGTGCAAGATGATAGTATGCAGGGGAAAAGGGTATAGTAGTAGAGATGTTAAAAGGAAATCAGATTCTGGGGATCCTTAGAAGCTGCAGCTGGTGGGATTTGGTGTTGGGTGGGACTTGTGGTGTGAGAGCTGCAACCATGAGTTGGGGAAATAAATCAGTACTGAGGGTTGAATCCTAGCACAATAAGACATCTGGAAGTCAAGAAAAAGGGCTTAGCCAGGAGAACACAGGAGACGCTAATTAGGGAAAAGAAAATACGAGTAATTCAGTTTTCCATGGAGAGTGCATCCACCACATCCAACTCAGTGGCTGTTAAGAGAAAGCTGGAGACTAGACCTTGGAGATGGCACTGTGGAAGCCAAAGCTGTTCATGACAGTGACTTCCATGAGTGCTGGGGGAGGGATTCTACTTAAGAGAGCCTGAGGACAGCCTGCGAATAAGAAAACAAGGAAGGAGCAAATATAGACTGTAGGAATTATGCTGTACAGAGGAACAGAGAGGGGTGGGGTAGTATGTTGCAGATATGCCTATGAATGTCATTTCTGTCTTTGCCTGATACTGGGGCTTGTACCTACTGAACAGCTATCACTGAGCTACCTGCCCAGCCCTTCTTTTCCTTTATAAAAATTGCCTTTATCCCACCATGTGTGTTGATGGGAATGATCTGGAAAAGAAGATCCTACTAATACAGGGGATAGCAATATTTAAAAATACTTCTTTTATTTCCTAGGCAAAAGGGTTGTTCAGCCAGTTTCACTTTGCTCCTGGTTTTCAACAGCTGCTTATTTGTGTATTATATTTGTTCATTTTGCCTACCTCTTTAGAGAGCACAGTCCCAGGTCATAAGTCAGCACACCATGTTACACACACTTCTCTGAGCATGACATTCCAAAGAATGTCAGAACCATTTAAATGAGTTTAAATCAGCATACTTGAGGTGCCCCAGTAAACACTTCTCTCCTTCAGGATTGCTTGATTTGGCTACATTTTATAGAGAAAATCGTTTGAAAAAGCTCTGCCAACAGACCATCAAGCAAGGAATCTGCGAGGAGAATGCCATTGCTCTGCTCTCGGCTGCGGTGAAGTACGACGCGCAGGTAAGAAAATGCCCTGTGGAGTAACGCACCTTCGGGAACAGTGGGCATGTACTGCGTATCTTCAGCCAACTCCAGGCAGAATCAAGCTGAATGTAGAAAACTAACAAGTTTAGGTAAAATATAAGTAACTATAAGATGTTAAGATAGATTTCAAGGGCAGAAACTCTAATGGAAAGGATTGATAGATCTGATTTCAGAAGGTAAACTTTTGTACACTAAAACATACCACAGAGAAAATGTAAAAGTCATTGGGGAAAATATTTGTAATATATTTATAATAAAGCAAGTTTTCTGGGCTGGGGAGCTAGCTTGGTAGTCTAAGCACCTGCCTGGGAAGCCCAAGGACCCGAGTTCAATCCCAAGTACTGCATTCTGTGCTGGCCCCGGACCAGGAATGGTGGTGCACACCTGTAATCCCAGTGCTGGGGAGGGTGAGACAGGAGGATAACTACAAGTCTGAACTGCATAGTGAGACCTTGTATCAAATAAATAATTAATTTTTAAAAAAGAGTTTAAAAAAATGAAGCAAGTTTTCCATAGTAAAAATGAAAAAGATGGGTAATTTGAAAAAAATGGACCAAAGAACAATGAATAAAAGAAAAACATAAATGAACACAATTATAATTTTTCACCTTTTAAACTAGAGACAGTATTTTTAAAAAAAAATCTAGGCTCAGAATAATGAGGGCTTTAAGAGGAGAGTACACATTTGAGCATTCTGGGATCAAGTTGGTATTTTTTTATGTATTTGTATCCAAATAGAAAAGATTAAAGAATCTAGGTGATTTTTATCATTGGATAGTGTGATTATGGATGATTTTTATTCTTTGCTCTCTTTTTTTGTTTAGCCATGCATTGTAATGATAATAAAGAAAATCTGCTTTAGAGCTAAAGTTAGGAAACAGGTAATAACTTCTCCAAGTCCGATATCTTTTCATCTGGCAAAAAAACAGGGAAATTTTAGTGGAAAAAGTGCTTATCTTTTTTTTTTTTTTTTTGCTTATGTAAATGCTTGTTAAGAAGATATAGAAAATATGAAAAGTATGAGGAAGAAGAAAAAGGCATGAGGAAGGAAATGACTCATCAAACAGAAAACATCATAAGTCTCATTCAGCACCTCTCCCCGGGTTGTATGTATTTCTAAACATTTGAATTTGAAAGAATTTTTTCATTCAACATTAAGGAAAAAACTCTTAATTAAAAGCATATGGGGACCCAGTCCTAGCCCAGGTCCGGTGAGTGTGTGGAGAGCTTCTTGCTACCTGCGCCGGCGGGACCAGTCCCAGCCCAGGCGCAGCGTGGGCCG